TCCTAAGTTGTCTTCTCCATGGGAAGGCCCATATGACATAGTGGATCGTCTCTCAGACGTTACTTTCTGGGTAAAATGTGGTCGGCGAGGTCAGCCAAAAGTAGTGCATGCCAACAGGCTTTGGCGTTATCATGGTCCAGGACATTTCAGTTGGGACGAAGTGGACAACAGAACAAATGATGCTGCTGAAGATGTGCCACCTGAAGAAGCCACCGTCAAAGAAGAAACTCTACTCAGTTTTGATAAGGGAAACAGTGTAGCTCTTGATGAAGTTACTACCACTGATGTGACTGTTATCGACGATAGGACATTTCCTGATGAAGCAGATAAACCCCATATGAAGCAGAAGCCAACGAGACGGAGACCAGTACGGAAGAAGATACGTCCCATAAAATTAAGAGACTTTGTTGAATTGTAATTCTGTACATTTAATTAAATTATTGTTAATTGTTATTGGTTTATTGTAAATCGCTATTGTTCGGGACGAACAATACTAAGGAGGGGCAGTGTTGCGTCAGCGAGGTCACGTGACTAGTATCACGCCACCTCCTTCTAGAAATATCCTGTTCCTTCATGAATGCTCTAGTGTTTACTAGATATCTGTTAGTCTTGTATATATAAGACGGTCATAAAGTGACTGGAACAATATGTGTAATTGAACTGAGTATTGTCGAGCACGTGAGACATTCGTTGAGATTATAGCGTTTGTTATAGAGCGACTGTTGAAATTAAGTTTATCAGTAAAGTTGTATTCGGAAAGAATAAACCAGTTTTATTTAAGAAAGGACTTGTGTCGCTAAAGTTTCGTCGGAACGAATTTACGGAAAATTAATTAACTAACGACTGGAGGCGTAACAACCCCAATTGGAAAGAGCAAGGAATCACAAGTTTGCTTTCTCTTCCTTTAATTATCCCTATCTACACGGGCCAAAAGCCATGTCATCACGTTGGCTCGCATTCAGACTTTTAGTGAACTACTATTTTAAGAATTTATGTCAATAAGTTTGGTATGAAATTGTAGACTATAATTCAAATTTTAGTTCTATACATTATTTAATTTCTTAATTTAAATTTAAATATTAAAAAACACACATAAATATCGATTTTTGTGTGTCACGTGGTATGTTGAATGCAGCATTGGTTCAGATTAGATGTTTGTGATGTCCAAATACAAAGTCTATAGTTTCTTACGAATTAGGAACTTCAGTTACCAATATTGACAAGCTAGAATATAAAATAAGAACCTCCTATCTCTTCTATTTGCTGGAATATCCCCACATTTACTGAATCAAACACAGTGGCTCCGCCCACGTCTTTCCATTTTTGAAAACACTTGCTTATGTACACTTTTGTCTACAACGTGTGAACAACCAGTTGACAGACGTGGTTCTCTGAGCCTTTGCAAAGTATTTACGCGGGAAACCCTTTCTTTTCATGGAAGATTTCGAACGATAAGGTAAATCTTTAGTGAGCTCGAAATTTCATTTTTTTTAGAGCCAAATACAGCTTAATTACTAAAAGTGATAAATTATATTGGAATTTTACGGTACTGATATACTAATTTATGATTTTTGTTTATGTCAAAATGTATATATAAAACCTTACAGTTCAAAGTTCGTAACTAGGAGATATAGTTATTTTCTATAATTCTTTACACACTGTTCTACATTTAAGAAAAATAACTGAAAATTAAGAACTTATTTTACATAGTATTTTTTAGTTTTGAATTTCGCTCAAAGCTACACGAGGGCTATCTGCGCTAGCCGTCTCTAATTTAGCAGTGTAAGACTAGAGAGAAGGCAGCTAGTCATCACCACCCACTGCGAACTCTTGGGCTACTTTTTTACCAACGAATAGTGAGATTGACCGTCACCTAATAACGCCCCCATGGCTGAAAGGGCGAGCTTGTTTGGTGTGACGGGATTCGAACCCGCGACCCTCAGATTGCGAGTCGAGCGTCCTAACCACCTGGCCATGCCAGGCCACAGATTTAAGTAAAATCATAGTGTTTATGCGTTTTCACCGTAAAAAAATAAAACATTTACTTAATATTTTTAGAATAATGATTAACATTTGTTTACTTCAAAAAAGTATAAAAGTTTCAGAATGTTCTATTTTTGCTGTATGCATAGAGAATAAATTTATCTAAAATTAAAATAAGATATTTATTCAAAAGCCAAGTTTTATCTTTAAACCCCCCCTTGACTTATTCATGGAGTATCTGTAAAACATCTCTCTTTCTTACTTAAATTTAGTTCGCGATTTATACACAAGTGTATAAGGTAAACACCCTCAAAACACCACAAAGAAAGTTTTACAACATTTTTTATAAACTCCGCCAGCTAAAATTGAAGTCTTGCCAATCTCACCCTCCCCTAACATCGCCACTGCTATTCGCAATAAGAAATACTAGAAAAAGTAATTTTATCTTAGAAGAAACCACGAATTATGAAAACAGTAAACCTAGAGAGGCTAACTTATGGAAGGAATCCCCATTAGATTAAGCCTTATTTTGTATGATTTTCTGAATGGCTGAAACAACACAATTAATTAAGTAGATTAATCTAGCATTTGCTTTATTTTATTATTTACTTTAAAGCTGTAGAAATAAAACTTAAAATTTACTCGGTATGCTAAGAGTATCTTATTAATTCAATTTTTTGTACATGTATGCAGGTACAGCCAGCCTTAATTGTTTGTTTGTTTTTGTTTGTTTTTTAATTATGCACAAAGCTACACAAGGGCTATCTGTGCTCTGCCCACCACGGGTATCGAAACCCGGTTTCTAGCGTTGTAAGTCCGCAGACATACCGCTGTGCCACTGGGGGGCAGCCCTAATTGTGAACTACTATAGCCTAACTGGCAAGGTAGTGAAGCATACAGTTAAGGTATACTCATCAATTTTAAACTATTCACTAGAAGATTGGCAGCTAGTAAGCAGCACCCGCCGCCATATGAACGTAGAAATAAATAACGGGTTTGAATGTCACTTTTATAACGCACTCACAGTTTAATATGTTAAGCGTGTTCAGTGACATCGTGGCGCAAACATAGGACCCCCCACCTCATCCCCCCTACAGCTTATTTTTAGGCAACGCTTGGCCCCATTTTACTCTTATTTTCCTCAAATAACACAAACAAAACTTATTAAGTATTTTTAATACTCTGTGTTGAATATGCTCCTACACCATCCTCAGAACTGTAACATAAGTATACATTTTTGTCTAATTATTTTAAGTACTATATTATTGTAAGGTCACTGAACATTAATTCATGAGAAGAAAAGGTACTGGAGAGAATGACTAATGTTTAATATACTGACAGTTAACTTACAGTTTTTGCGAATATACAAGTTATATGTCTCGGCAATTCTCTTTACTAATCGTAGTATTCAACTGTAATATTATTATACATTAAAAATGGTACCGTTTATTGAAAAAAAAATAGTTTCTTTAAAATTCCAGTTTCTCAGTACCACATTCAAAAATTACAACTATAAAAATATAATCCAACCCTTACGTACAGTCTTAGTGAAAGCCGTGTTCTTGTTGTGAGAAGAGTACTTTCAGTTAAAACTGTGTTTCTATAAAGAAATGGTTGTTATTTTTCTAACTGTCGGAATCTTGAGTACCCAAACTATGAAATTATTTATGGATTTTTGTTTGTGGTGCCATTCAATAGATAGCGCAGGAGTTTTGGTTACATACATAAATACTGACACATACACTACGTCCATTATACAAAGAATATTGATCATGTACTGTTAATTAAGTTTTCTTTGTCATCGACATCTGAAGCCAATAGTTTAATCACGAACAGATCTTGCTCTCAGATCTAATAGCTATCAATATTCTAATTATTATATGGAAACATTTTTCTTGATTCATGAACAAAACAGTAATTATTTGTTTAACAATAACATAATTCTATATAGCAGTCAAAAATACTGCAAATTACGTTGCTGTGTGATTTAACATACACATTCATGAATTCTATTCATTTTCTTAAAATGGGAAAAGAAATACTGAGCTCGTACAAGTATGTAGTCAACATGAAGAAAAAGAGATTACATGTTAATATATTTACTTCAAACATTACATAAAAACCTAAAGTATGAGTATTATAGGAACCGAACCGAGTGGAATTGGAACTTCCAATCTGAACAGTACTCTTCGGCTAAACGGCAATGTCACACCCTAGGATTCAGACGTAGTAGTCCCTAAGTATGACTTAGAGCTAAAGGGAAAGCAACTAGGAAGTAGCACCCGCCGCCACAGAGGATTTATCTCACTTTTCTAATCAAATAACGGCATTGACTGTTACTTTTAAAACATTTCCATACTTGAAAACGCATTTAGTTGCATTATGTCTCAATCTCCTGGTCCTTCACTGCAGCTCAACATGCTAGTCACAAGGCTATTCCCGACCCTTTTATACATTTTGTTTTAATAATATAAGTTCCACTTTCGATATGCGAAGAGTATCTTATTAACTCAATTTTGTGTACACGTTTGAAAATAAATCACCATGAAAAAGACTTAGAAATTATTCGTCCCCTAGTGGCACAGCGGCATGTCTGCGGACTTACAACGCTAGAATCCGAGTTTCGATTCCCGTGATGGGCAGAGCACAGATAGCCCATTGTGTAGCTTTGTGCTTAATTACAAACAAACAGAAATTATTCATTCAAAGAACTGAAACTAAATCACAATTTTATCATTTTACTTTATATTAATTGCAGTAGAGATTACGTGATATTATTAAATTTTATGTTCTGGATCAGAAACTGTTTTAAATACTATGTGTCTAGAGTTGAAATAAACCTTCAACATTTATTACGTAATACGCTCGCCAATGAAATAAAATGGCCTGGGTTTTTATCAAATACAAGTTTGGTTTTGAATTTCGCACAAACTATACGAGGGCTATCTATGCTATTTGTCCTTAATTTGGCAGTGAAAGACTAGAGGGAAAACAAGCTTGTCATCACCACCCACCGTCAACTCTTGGGCTACTCTCTATCAACGAATAGTGGGGTTGACGTCACATTATAACGCCCCCACGGCTGAAAGCATATTTGGTGGAACAGGAATTCTAACCCGCGACTCGCATATTGAGAGTCGAGCTCCATAGCCACTTGGCCATGCCAGGCCTTCAACTATAAGAGATGAGATATTGTTGGCCATAAAAGATAATTCAGATCATGTTATATATATATATATTCTGTGGAGTCTATTCGATTCTGAAAGTGGGGAGGCGCAGGGATATGGTCTTGGGGAAGAGGCGTAAGTTTTTTTTCATCATATTACATATTTTGAAAGAATGCACACTTCAACAAATCTATTGCTATAGTACTTGAAAAAGTATGGAACACGGGTTAAAGTAAAGGGAAAGGCTTATTAAAAACAACATAATTACTTTCTTGTTAACCGTGCATAAATACATTTTTCAAATAACAATTAATGCAATCTAAATACTGTTAATGCAAGTACTCTCTAATATAGTATAATACAATATTCAAAACTCACTAAATACCATGTGTTAAATAACACGTTATCAAACAACACTGACACTTCAATTCATCACAAAGCCGGTTGTACAAGTTATACTAAAATACTCCGAATAAAGTTTAGTTTAAACTCGGACTTTTTTCCCCTTTAACTATGTATCAAACTGTCGCGATTTGCTATTTCATCAAAAATTTTACACAGTTCGAAAAATACTATCTCTGGAGTGGTTTCTGCTAATACAATTTTTACCTTGGTCCCAAAATAGTTAAGAATAGATAAGATTTGTTTTTGGAAACCTTCTATACTTTTTTCAGTTGTTTCGTTTTCGTATGTTCTTCCACTTTCTTTTGATTTTTTCTTTAATCTTGTTTTCATGGTTTCTTCAGAAACTTTGAAATAAATAATTATGGAACCTTCAACGACTTCAGATTCGAACATCTTTGCTTGATCAACATCCTCTGGAAATCCATCAAGGATAAATCCCTTGGTAAAAGAAAGTTGGCATAACATAGTTTCTTTCAAAATATGAAGTACAATTTCATGAGGTATATTTTGTCCTCCTGTGACTTTCTCTTCCAAATACTGTGCTCTTGGTGATCCAAAGCAAATTTCTTCTCTCAAGAGGTCACCAATAGAAATATGACTAAAGTTATACTTTCTGGCCAAAAGTGCACACTGTGTTCTTTTTCCTGATCCTGGACCTCCAATGACAAAAAATACAAGATGATGTTCCTTGCGCAAAGGAGAAATATCAATTGGATCTGGAAACAGCTCTTTTTGAATTTTTCTTACTTCAAAATTAACAATGAATTGGTCCAATACTTTCTCGACCTCAATAAATAAATCATCGGGATTTTCTTCCGCTGATTTTTTTACTGTTTTTTCTTGATAAAATTCAAGGACCGGTTCTGTTTTCCAATGAAAGTTCTGTATTCTTTTTTTTATTGTCTCTTCATTATCATCCACTCTTCCACTTGTTTCACCGCGTTTCATCAATCTCTTCATCATTGTCTCATCTGAAATTTCAAAGTAGAGTACCATACTACATTCGGCAACAGTGATTTCAAATAACTTGGCCTGTTCAATTTCGCGAGGAAAACCATCCAATAAAATACCTTTGCATATGGACAGATTAATATGCTCCTCCATTGCTTTTTTAAGAAGACTCAAAACAAGTTCTGAAGACACCAATTCTCCATTCTTTATATTTTTTTCTATAATCTGACCTGTTGAAGAGCCTGATTTTATTTCATGGCGTAATAAGTCTCCAGTAGCTAAATGAACGAAACCGTATTTTTCAGATATTTTTACACATTGTGTTCCTTTCCCAGAACCTGGACCCCCGATCACAAAAATGATTGGCTTTTTGAATTCTTCAAAATGTCTAGAACCAAGGCTCTCTTTTTCAACATGAGAAGAAGATGAATCTTGTACGTCAGTTTTGTTTTCCACTATACTCTTATCAATCTTGCGCTGAATTTCTTGGGAGCTGAGACTTTTAATGGCTGAAATCAAGCTGCTAATATTATCATCGCGTTGAGTTGTACAGTTTATTCTTACAAATGTGCCTTGGTTTTCATAATATTCTATAACAGGAAACATTTTTTCTTCAAATCTTTGTAACTCAGCATCAACAGCTTGAAGAAGACCGGAATCTATATCAGTTTGAAGAATTTTCCGTAAGTATTCTTCTTCAAAATCTAAAGAGATAACACCACGAATTACACTTTTTAGACATTGCTGTGACTCACATTCCAAAATATCACTTTTGTTCCGTGGAAAACCTGTAATAAGTACCACTCTATTTTCCTTACAAGCAACTAATCTGTTTTGAAGTTGATCTATAACAGAACAACAAGGAACCAAGGTGATATTTGAAAAATCTTCCACAGTCGTTTGACGCTTAAGTATTGAATACGCTGAGACATGTATGATGGTATCTTGCTTGTCCGATACTTCCCGACAGAGATCTTCGATTTCGGAATGAGCAACCCCTAAAATAAAAATCACTGAAAAATCTAGGGGTGCTCCTGAATAGCACGTTTCTTTGTGCAAGTCATCACTGTACCTATTTACATCATTAGTAAAAGAAGTGAGTGCTTTACCAAATGCACTATCCTTTCTGGGGACCTTGTTCATTCGAGATAAAGAAACACCTTGTTCAGAAACCTCATACAAATTATTCTGACTACATGAAGATAATGGTTGCAACGTCCTTAACCGGGGATGTAGGCGAGAAATAAATGAATTCCAGTAGCACCTCTTTACCTCACCAGTTCTAATTTTCGACAAGCACTGCTGCAAAAATTGTATGTGATCACCAGGTCTGTGAAACATGAGACCAACCATCATGCTTTCAAAAAGCTGCGGAATCTCTCGTCTAGCTAAATATGAATTAACTTCTTCATATGAAGTCATATTTTAATTATTTGCATAAAACGGTAACGCATCTTTCAATTCTGTTGTTACAATGACTGAAGAATGTCAGGACTGATCGATCTTGGTCTCATACGCGTGCGTTACTGCTTATCTGAACTCTAGAGGGCGTTAAAAGTTCGTGACGCTAGTTCAACATAAATTTTCGATAAAATATTTACTTTAAAGTTGTAGAAGTAAAACTTAACTTTACTCTTTCGGTGTTGCAAGGCTAAGCTGCCAGGTCAGAAATCTCTAGGATTCAAGTATGGCCGGCCTTAATTAACATTCACATTTTCGATCCGCTAAGAGTATCTTATTACTTCTGTTTGTCATACAATGCAAAGAAAATAAGTCACAATGAAAACGACTTAGAATTTATTCGTTCAAATAACTGAAACTAAAGCAAAATATTGTAATTTTACTTTGTACTGGCTGCAATAAAGATTATTTGATATTATTAAATTTTGGGTTTTAGAAAAGAACTTATTTTAAATATTATGCGTCTACAGTTGAAATATGCCTTAAGTTTTTGTTAAGTAATGAGCTCGCCATTAGAATAAAATAGCTTGGATTTTTATCAACTATAAGAGATGAGATACCGCTGGACGCAAAACACAATTCAGATCATATCATACATAACATCTGTGGCGACTCCTGGATTCTGAAAGTGGAGAGGCACAGTTGGGAAAGTGTCGAAGTCTTTTCTGAGTTTTTCAAGTACAAACTTAATCCATAATTTAAACACGTTACAAGTTGATAAAACAAAATACATAAATCAAATTTAAAGACGCAAAGTAAAAGTAAAAAAAAAACTCCAAAAATGGATATCTTTGCTATGGAGCTATCAAAACCGCATGTTTAAAATTATAAGCTTTTAGACTTAGTGCTGAGCCACTGGGGTCCCAAAATAAAAGAATGTACAAATAAGTTAGAAATACATATACATCCAAAATAACTATGAAACTAAAAAAATTACAGTTAACGTCAATTAGAAGGATTTATACAATATTTACAGTTCTGAGGTTATGGGCTGGTTAGTGTTTATAAACCTCTCCTGAATATGTTAAGTGTTTCACAGTATTCATTTCTTCGAAATCAGACTGGATCACCATCACTCATTCGACCATCATAGTCTACTTGTCTGGTTGTTGGTAACCGTTCACCATGTTACTTGTATGTTATTGCTGCATCCATGATGCATTGGACTGAAGTTTACTGCGAGACACAGGTGCAAACATGTATCTTGGACGCTGACTTATTTTTTATGGATGCAAGGTCCAGGAGGTTTCGTTGGATCATTGACTGAGAAAATGTTCCAAACTGGACATATAGTGAAAGCGCACCAATCTCTCTAACTATGACTAGCTGCCATCTCAAGAATATGGTGTCTACCATCAGTGTCTGAATGATATAACAAATAGTCCAGTCAGCCTACGCAAAAACATACCTCAACATCAAACAAATTGCAACAGAGATAATGCTTTGATTTATTGTTAGAGACACGTATTGCGAAGTTACACAAGAAAGTCTAGAAAAATCTAAATGGGAGAAATACATAAAATTTTCATTTTCCTTATTAACATATCTAATGAAAATACAAGGTGGGCCAAAAGTAGGGTTACAGTTACTCTATTATTTGTTTCTCCTTCACAATCACGTTTTAAATATACATGTAAATCATAGAAAATAATGCTGAAACCTTATTTTGTACTACTTACTCACGTTTTAAAAACGTTATACATGTAAATAAATGTCTAAATTTCTAATAAAGGAAAAATGTTTAAGTGTTAACTGTAACCCTACTTTTGGCCCACCCTGTATAACAACATGATTTGATATATGCAATCATATACTCTCATTATACACTCTTTCCATTAATATATTAATAAAAATACACAAATAGATAATATATAATAGTTAATAAGATGAACCCAATTGAAAAAATCAATGTGCGATATATTTTAATAACGCCGCAAAAGCAACGTAACTGGTTCTGGTTTGTGTATTAATTCAAGTAATACAACGTTGGTAAATAGATATAGCAAGTGTTTATAGAAAGATGTGTGTGTTAAGTCGCATTTTGTATACTCATTTTCCAGATGTGGCTGTCATTTAAAAGAATATTGTTATAGATTTTCTTTTGATGGGTGGAGTAATATATATATAAGTTAAAGAGGTGAATAATCATTAATTTGGGCTTCAGTTAAAACACATTCAAGATAGGATCGTCCGGTTGTAAAGGAAATATATAACGAATTTAATCCTATTTTTCTGGCACATTGTCCTCTTTGTATTGTATCTTTTATGTATTTTTATTTATTTATGTCAGATTCTATCAATTGTGTTGCATTTATACAGTTAACACCTCTACATTCTCCACAGTCTATAGAACACTCAAGTCCATGCTTCCTACATGTACAACGTTTAGTATCACAATTCGCTTTACAGTTGCATTGATAATTTTTAATAAGCTTTATGGAGCTGGTGGTAAATGTTTCTTAACTGGTAATAAGCTATTGCCTACAACTGACCATCCCCACTCTTGTGGTAACATTTTGTCATTTGAGTCAATCCATGTTTGTACTTGAAAATAGTCCCTCATGCTGTAGTATTGTGCGGCTGCGGATGTAGGAGGAAGTGTATGTACCTGTACGTGTGCTGTGCTTGAAACTACTTTTCGTGCAAAATGTCTGAAGTGCAATAAATCCAATCCCTCAATTGGAACTTCGCCATACAGACATATAAGTGCTTGTTCTCCGGCTTTTTGTATTTCATCTCTTGTTTTACCTTGATTGCAAAACACTTCTGCACTCTCCCTTAAATGTGGTTATCCTAGTTTTTTTAAATGCTGCCCCTTTTCCAATCCCATAAATGCGAGAGGTTGTGTCGCAACCCGTCAAAGCATGAACTAACGGTATATAGCGACAGGTGTTTGCTCCAAGTATCATATTCGTTTGTCAAATGTCCCAAATTTTCATCGCTTTGTACGTAGTCTGTTTCCCTTCTGACTTGAAAACGATATTACAGTTCTGAGTATTAGCGTGATAGCATAGCAATATGAGAAGATCCGTGTTTTCACCGATCACGATTGTTTCACGAGTTTCTACACAAGCAACTGCCGTCTTGACTATTAAAAAACCCGCATCGAAGTCGACGCACGAGCATGTAAATGAAACGTTGTTTGTTTTCAGAATTCGTTAAGAAGTGTTCTTTTTTTCCCTTTGAATGGTGTATTGTCTTTGAAGTTAACATTCGAACCGAAAACTCCATGCGTTCGCCGCAAATGGGCTACATCCTTTGTTGATGGTCCTGACTGGTAGCTACCAAACACAATTACTGGATCCACATACTTTTTAGATATATAATCAACGTACACATTACAAATATCTGCGAAATCTGTGCCTTGTTGCCATGGCATGTGCTGTAATAATGATCCTCCATCTAAAACATGTTGAACATTCTCAGTAATAGACTCTTGTCTTCCACAGTCTCCATGTTTAGTGCTTGCAATGTTTATTCCCTTACAAATAACACAAACGTGAGAGGAGTTTCACATTTCCATCTGTAAATACATTAAAAGTAACCTTATAACTATTAGATTCAAAACATAAAATAAAAAAGACCTAGAACAGTTTGAATACATATATTATCTTATGAGTTCTTATGAAATACCTCCAGGGTGTTAGTTTTTAATTAAAAGTAGTGTTAATTTCTTAAATTATTTTACAAACAAGCATTGAATAAGTGTTTGCTTTATAGTTATGTACCTTATTGACTGTTATCAACAACAACAATACTCATACAATAAGTGGATGTAGACCTATTCTTTAGACTCGCTACATATATTAGCACGTTTTATATCCGGGGTTTTCATCTACAAATACGACTGTTTATATATATATGGTAACACAAAATTCATATAATATTGTTACGTCTCCGTTCGTTCGTTAATTTTCCGTAAATTCGTTCCAACGAAACTTTAGCGACACAAGCCCTTTCTTAAATAAAACTGGTTTATTCTTTCCGAATACAACGTTACGATACATTTAATTTCAACAGTCGCTCTATAACAACGCTATAACTCACGTCTCACGTGGCCAACAATATTCTGTCCGCATACATTTAATTACTCATTACCTCCCCGTCGCTTCGTGGCCGGTCTTATATATACCAGACTACACCCAATCTAATAGTCTCCCGACAATTCACGAAGGAACAGGATATTTCTAGAAGGAGGTGGCGTGATACTAGTCACGTGACCTGGCTGACGCAACACTGCCCCCTCCTTAGTATTGTTCGTCCCGAACAATAGCCACTTACATTAAACCAATAATAATTAACAATAACTTAATTAAATGTACAGAATTACAAACATAA